CCTTAGGTGTACGTGGCTGGCGCCTTAGCCGGTTGAGCTATAGGTGCCGAGCCTAGTTACTCAGTTCTTCTCCAAAATGGCTTAATAGAAACTTGCATAATCCGTAATATTCTAAAATTAAAATTAAAAAAGAAAACGTAACTAGCCTCTTTGAATTTATAGGATTATACGTAAAAACCCTTGGTTTCATTATCACATAATGTTAATTTTAAATTAGAAATAAATCCTTCTCTGTTTTTGAGCCACACACTTGATCTGTATCTGAAATCTGTTGTGTTTTTATTAAGATGTGTATTATGACCTGTACAAAGGGATTTGGGGTGTCATAATATCAACCATGAAAGCTAGAAATGACTCTAAGGCCAACACACACATTGCAAGCTTGAACAGTGTTCAATTTTTGCTATAATGTGATTGCGATGTCTTTAAAATAATACTCAAACTTTTGGTTTGTGTGTAGAACATTTCTATATCCACTGTAATTATAGTTGCTTAAAAGAGACTCATTAAAACTATGACTTGAAACTCTTTCTCCTATAGGATGACTGTGGGAATCTTTGCAGATTGTACCTTCTGTTTGAAAGTCAAGTCCTTACCTTGGCAACAGAAGAAAAAGCTACAAACTGACATTACGGAAAATGGTGGAAGGTTTTCCCTTTTATTTAATCCTCAGGTACTTCCGCATTTCATATTTGATAAATATGGTGCATTCAGGGAATGAGGATCTAGGTTAAAAGAGAAAGCAGACGATCAGCAGGAGGCAGTGAGTGGGCGGTGAGCTGCAGCAGGAGAAACTCTGATGTAGCCACTTGGGAGATTGGGCCCAGAGCAGCAGAGGTAGCCCAGGCAGTTCTCTAAGCTACGGGACAATCCTTCCACGTGCCCAGTGAAGCAGGTATTATTAGAGCCCAGCCAATGACAAAAATAGAAAAAATTTAAGCCTCTGTGCACAGCTCCAGTGGACGTACCAGAACGTCTGCACAGTTGTTTGTAGCATGTCAGGAAGGAAGGCTGCTCATTTGCTGAGTGGAACCACAAAAAGGGAGGGGCAGTCGGGAGGCTGGTTGAAATCAGGGTGAGACAAGCCTTTCCAAAGGGCTGGTTGCTGTGTGGTCCTTGGTTTCTGGGTAGTAAGAGGGAGAGGGGGTATGAGAAAATAGTACGAGAAAATATATCTAACCTCCTCCTGCCCATTATGGCCAGGAACTCAACTCAGTTTCAAGATTTTTCTGGATTAGTCAAGACGGGGTCTATTCAGACAGTTGAGGGCTTAGGGTTTTATTTTTATTTCTTCCTCACGTTCCTTGTGCTGCTCTGTGCCACTTTTCTCTCTCAGCCCCCACAGACTCAAACACAAGCTTTGCATGTTTGTCAAGACATCGTCTGGCCAAGCTAGTGACTTGTTACTGATATAAAAAATAATGTATTTTATTATTTTTTAAAACAGAAAGAATACAAAGAATTTCAGGCTAGCCAAATCTATTCTTGACTAGGAAAAATCATCGTGCACAGCATTTGCAAAAAACACAGCAGTGTCACTCACCAGAATATCAGTCCCAGAGTGACGTTTACAAGCAGAAAGACATGCAATACAAACTGACCTTTCTGATATAGCCTGTGCTGCTTATTTTATTTGCTTAAAGGTTGTAGGAAGCTACCTTCCATCTTTTAAAATAAACTGTAGGCCTGACAGGTACAGAATTTCACAGCTGGATGAAATCTTGGAAATAATTAAGATGAACCTCCTCTTTCTTAACCACCTCATGACAAGAAAAATTGTAGTCCAAAAGCAATCGGTGCCAGGCCTGCCTCCCCTACACCCACACCCTCCCTGTGCTTTGCCCTTCCTTCTGTTGATGGATTGAGGGGATGACTCAGCCTGCCTTTCCATGGACTTCAGCCCTGGGTCTTGACCATAGTGAGCCTCATCTGTTCTGTGACGAGTGTTCAACTCCAGCTGAATATTAGAGATGAAATATCCCTATTTCCTTTTTTCATTCACTGCCCTGCACCTGTTGTACTCCTCAGTTGCTCTCTGTGTGGACAACTACCAACGTGGTCTCTCCTTTTTTGAAATGCTCACTTACTGTGAATACAACCTTTTTGAAGTTTTTCTTGCCCATGTATATAAACATTTAAAAGGTGCACACTGGCCTTAGAAGGAGATAGCTCTGTATATAATGATGAGAAATGATTGCTGAGATAAACTGGTAAATGGAAAAGCAAGTTGAGAAGAGTGTGGATAGGATACTGCCATTTGTCTGTGCATAGAATAATTCTAGGAGGATACATGAAGGGCAGTTAAGGGCAGCTGCCCCAGGAGAGGAACCGGGAACAAGGGCGGGGGAAGAAAGTTAACATACCATTATTGCCATTGTACTTTTAGATATCCTACAATGTGCATGTACTATGTATACAAAACCAAATAAAACTACAAATTAAAATAAATTTAAAAAATAAACTTTTGGGGTGGTGCCTGTGGCTCAAGGAGCAGGGCGCCAGCCCCTTATACCGGGGGTGGTGGATTCAAGCCCAGCCCCTGGCCAAACCTGCAAAATAAATAAATAAATAAATAAATCAACTGTGAACCTCCCTTTTCACTCCTAAGGAAATAATTGAACAAGTGCACAAAGATGTACACATTAAGATGTTCCTCACAGCATTGTTTACGATAGTGAAATTCTAGAAATAACCACTGGGGTTAACCAATTATAGTGCAGCCATATCCATATTCTTTAAAAATGGTTGATTTTTAAAATTGTATATAACCAGAAATTGTGTTATTTATAAATGTTTTAGAAATCTGAGAAAAATTCTTCTCAGCACCCTTAAAATGAGACTTGTTAAGAGTGAAAATTACAGATGCAAATTATTTATCTTTTTTCTTCTCTGTTTTTCTTAGTGCACACACATAATCTTAGACAATACCGATGTTCTGAGTCAGTATCAACTGAACTCCATCCAGAAGAACCACATTCATACAGTAAATGCAGATTTTATATGGGAATCTATCAAAGAAAAGAGACTTTTAGATGTAAAGAATTATGTTCCTAGTAAGTCACTGGATGTCACATCACATCTTGATCAAAAGGCAAGTGGTTCTGGTAAGTATTTCACAGCATGTATTTAATGTGCTGTAGGTGCTATCATAGACATTTGGGTTTGTCAGATATTAGAGACACAAAATTATCTAGAAATACTACAAAAGCAATTAGACCTCAGAACATGACCTCAGAAAATGGACAGTGACAGGTGGCGCCTGTGGCTCAGTGGGTAGGGTGCTGGCCCCATATACCTAGGGTGGTGGGTTCCCGGCCAAACTGCAACAAAAAAAATAGCCAGGCATTGTGGTGGGTGCCTGTAGTCCAGCTACTCAGAGGCTAAGGCAAGATAATAGCCTAAGCCCAGGAGTTGGAGGTTGCTGTGAGCTGTGTGACGCCACGGCACTCATCTGAGGGCGATAAAGTGAGACTCTGTCTCTACAAAAAAAAAAAAAAGAAGAAGAAGAAGAAAAGAAAATGTACAGTGAAATAGTAAAAGGCAAAAGAATACTTTAGCAATAGAAAAGATTTCTTAATATCCAGTTTAGTGGGGTTAGATTCAAAATTACCCCAAAAACACCAATAATCTCAGAAAACTTGATTATAATTTTAACCAGGGGTGGTAGGAGGGATAATAATAAAATATTATTATTACCACAACTTAACGACTGGATATGTTATGACCAGCATTTTGCTAAAGAAGATTTCTCAAAAGAAACTCCTTTATAAACTCAGATTTTTATTTTGGAATCTGGCCAAGAAGAAAGCCTTTGGACATAGAAACACACTCCTCATGAGTCACATCAAATACCAAGCAGTTCTGGATAAGACAAAGTGACTCATGGCTATAATCCTAGCACTTTAGGAGGCCAGGGTTGTGAGGATCACTTGAGGAAAGGAGTTCAAGACCAAACTAATATAGCTAGACCCTCATCACTACTAAAAATAGAAAAAATTAGCCAGGTGTGGTGGCCAAAGCCTGTTGGCCCAGCTACATGGGAGGCTAAGGCAGGAGGATCACTTGAGACCAGGAGTTTGAGGTTATAGTGAGTTGTGATGATACCACTGCCCTCTAGCCCGGGCAACAGAACAAGGCTCTGTCTTAAACCCCAAGCCATTTTGATAAATATTAACTAAGAGTAAGCATATGGCGTATGTTAGAAATCATAGTAACATGGAAGAGTGAAGCTTCTTCCATGTCAGGCGAAAATGCAGCAGTTATTGGACTTATTTGCTGTCTCAGAAAATGATAGTTAAAACAGAATTAGGCTTGGGCAGCACCTATGGCTCAAAGGAGTAGGGTGCCAGCTCCATATGCAGGAGGTGGTGGGTTCAAACCCAGCCCCAGCCGAAAACTGCAAAAAACAAAACAAAACAGAATTAGGCTAAATGATAGGCTCCTTTCACACTGAAAATGTATTGTTCAACGTCGAGAATAGTTTATTCAGTTTCAGAATTACTACAAATACACTCATGATCTTTGAAATCTTGGTCGTATAATTAAAATGAGAAAGAAATGTTTGCATTGAAAGAGTTATTCCTGGCTGGGTGCAGAGGCTGAAGTGGGTGGATTGTTTGAGCTCAGGAGTTCAAGACCAGCCTAAGCAAAATTGAAACCCCCCATCTTTACTAAAAGTAGAAAAAACTAGACAGGTGATGTGGCAGGCACCTGTAGTCCCAGCTACTCAGGAGGCTGAGGCAGGAGAATCACTTGAGCCCAAGAGTTTGAGGTTGCTATGAGCTGTGATGATGCCACAGCATTCTACCCAGGGTGACAGAGTGAGACTGTCTCAAAAAAAAAAGAAAAAAGAGGCTCAGCGCCTTTGGCTCAGCGGCTAGGGTGCCAGCCATATACACCAGAGCTGGTGGGTTCAAATCCAGCCCAGGCCTGCCAAACAATGACAACTACAACCAAAAATGTTGCTGTGAGCTGTGATGTGACAGCACTCTACCCAGGGCGACATAATGAGACTCTGTCTCAAAAAAAGAAAAAGAAAAAGAAAAAGAATTATTCCTACATATCATAATGCTATAGTGATATATACTTACACTTCCTCTATAAGATAAATATGGGCTTGGTACCCATAGCTCAGAGGTTAGGGTGTCATCTACATGCACTGAGGTTGGTGGGTTCGAACCTGGCCTGAGCCTGCTAAACAAACAAGCAAAAAAATAGCCAGGTGTTGTGGTAGGTGCCTCTTGTCCCAGCTACTAGGGATTGAGCCCAAGAGTTTAAGGTTGCTGTGAGCTGTGACACCACAGCACTCTACCAGGGGCAACATAGACTCTGTCTCAAAAAAAAAGAAAGAAAAATATGAAGCAAAAACTCACACAGACCCCTTGAATTTTCCTCCTTTAAACTAGAACACCCCCAACTCCTTCGTTTGTGGCATGAAGACCCTTAAGAACTCATTCTGATCCTGTGGCACTGTACATAAGAAATACATTTTAAGAAATACTTGGCAGCTCATGCCTGTAATCCTAGCACTCTGGGTGGTCAGAGCAAGTGAACTGCTTGAGCTCAGGAGTTTGAGACCAGCCTGAGCAAAAGTGAGACCCCTGTCTCTACTAAACATAGAAAAATTAGCCGGGCGTTGTATCAGGTACCTGTAGTCCCAACTACTCTGGAGGCTGAAGCAAGAGGATCTCTTGAGCCTAGTAATTTGAGGTTGCTGTGAGCTATGATACCACAATACTCTACGCATAGTTATAAAAGCTATGTGAGTTATAACTATGTGTAGAGTACTGTAGCATCATAACTCACATAGTTTTTTAAGAAAATAGTAATGCATTTTATAATTATGCTTACTGTGCTCTTCAGAGGAAAAGAAATGCCACTTGAAAATGTATGGCTGTCAATGAATTTCAGATAATACCAATTAGAATTATCCTCATATGCCTATTAAAATAGAATTAGAATATGTTCTTGCTGCCTTACATACTTTCTTCCTTTCCTGGTACTATCCTTAAATTGCCCATAACTATGGTTAATTTAAAGACAGCTGAAAAACCAGACTAGTATAGCAAATATGATCATATTCATGAATCTGAACAGTTGCAGTAGTTAACACATCATGATAAACCTTTGAGTAGTAAACAAGTGTTGTGTTTGCTTTAATCCTAGACGCGAAAACAGACGATCTATCCCTGGACGATGCCTCAGAAAAGGAAAACATTGTGGAATTCACTGAGTAATTTATTTCTGATCCTTAGGCCTCTCAGAATATGTAAAATGTTTTGTAAATCTTAAGCATAGGACTAAAATATTATTTGTAGACTTTTGTAGTATTTTAACTCTTTAGCAAATTTTTATTTAAGACTTTTTACTTGGCTCGGCGCCTATAGCTCAACCGGCTAAGGCGCCAGCCACATACACCTAAGGTGGCAGGTTCGAATCCCCA